TAAGCAGACAATGATGTGAATTCTGCCACCTCTATGTGACCCTCTAAGGGCCAACTGCCCCTAAACCTCAGACAGCGTGATGGCCAATGGGGAAATTTGGAAATCCTCACAGGGATTTGGCCCCACAGTGCATATGGTTTGACTGGTGCTTAGATCAAAACAGTGCTGTCCCTTGAATCCGTCATTAGCAAAGAATAGACTTCCTATGGGCCTGTTGTGTGAGGGGAGCCAAAATCACAGTTTCTGTCCTCAAGGAGCTTTTGACCCAAAACCTTCTCAAGAGAGGACCAAGGAGCACGGTGCCAATCATCATCAGCAAATGTGTGTGCATGTGTGTGGACTGCTTCAGTGAAGGTTGGGAATATGCAAGAAGCTATGGGTTTCCAGCTCACTCCAGTGGGCAAAGCCAGCCTGCCATTATTTCCTAGAAGCCCTCTCTTCAGTGTGAAAAGTAAGGTTGAGTGACATAATGGACAAAAATGAGGCTGGCAGTCCAGAGGACTGAGTTCAGGTTTCAACCCTGCTGTGTGTCTGTGGGCAAGATACTGGGCCTCTCTGAAGATAATTATTAAGACAGCTGATGTTTGTTGCATGACCTCTGTGAGCCAGTGACGCCATATGTATCACGTCACTTGTCCAGTCCTATATTCAGCCCTTTGTTTTACTCACTGTGTTGAGTGCATCCTCACACCAGGCACCATGGATGTAGCCTTGAACAAGATAGCTCAACCCCTTATCTCACTGAACTTAAATACTGGTGGTGGAGACCGAGAGTGAGTGATCCATTACACATGTATTTAATCATTATTAATGATTTATTCACCTATTCAAAAACCATGTGTTCAGTCTCACACTACTCAGTTGGTGAATTGTGGTCAGTGTTTCAAAGGAGAAGTTTCCCGTGCTCTTTGTGAGGGCATACCCTGGGTGGGTGGGTGCCTGGACTGGTTGGAAAGCTCAGCCCTGACTTCCAAGGAGAAATGGCTTTTGAACCACAACACTGAAGAATGAGTGAGAGTTACTGTGTAGTCCCATTTTGCAGATGAAGAAACTGAGGCTCAGAAAGGTCACATAACTTGACCATAGAACACATTAGTTATTTCATGGACCCAGGATTTGAACCCTAGTTTTTCTAACGCTGAAATGAGTGGTTTATCAGGTTAGTGTTTTTTTAGACTGGGATATAGATCAAGATTTCTACTAAGAGTTCTATTAGAATGTATGTGCTAGGTTCCACAGAGAGATTCTGATTCAGTTGGTCCAGGTAGAGCAAAGGCACAGTTCAGTTCAGCTCAGTTCAGTCACTCAGTCGTGTCCAACTCTTTGCGACCCCACGAACTGCAGCACGCCAGGCCTCCCTGTCCATCACCAACTCCCAGAGTTTACCCAAACTCATGTCCATTGAGTCGGTGATGCCATCCAACCATCTCATCCTCTGTCGTCCAAGGAGGGGCAAAAGTAAGTTTGAAAGAGCGTCCCAGTTGATTTGGATGCATGACTCAAATCATCACTGTTTAGTATTTCTGCCACAGTTCCCCAGAGCTCAGTGACAACAGGACATCACGGAAGGAAAGGCAGATGTGTGTCAGGTCCCTGCTGCACCACTAAGTCCCTGCTTGATCTGTGATGACATCAGTACTCCAGCCCTCATGCACTTGAGAGTCACCTGGAAAGCTTTCAGAATCTCTCCTAGGCCCCACCTCCCAACAACAGCACCAGAATCTCTGGGGAAAGGACCTGGACAGAAGTATTTACTAGATGTTTCCTTGTGCTTTAGCACTCGATGACCTCAAAGATACCTTCTGACTTGGAAATCCTCTGCATGCCTGACTCCCACCCCCACCACTGCTTCCTGATGACTGAGGGGGACATTACGGAGCGTGCACCGAAGTGAGGGGGTGTGTGTGTGGATGATGCCTTGCCAAGACCTGCTGCTCCACTCTAGCACTGGCTTTGTGAAAATAGTAACTTTTTTTCCTGACTGATTTATGTGATGGTTGGAAAGCAGCCCCCAGAACTGTTCCTCCCTCGGCACTATTAACATAAATATGTGCGCTGGGCCTTGGGCTCCAGCTTCTCTCCGGGTAAACGAGGCTTAAAGGGGCCTGCGAAGGCCTGAAGAGAAACCAGAGGAGAGGAAGTGTCATTAGAGGCCCAAGAATGAAAAGGGGAAAAGGACAGGACGTTGCTAAGAGACAATGTCAAGCTGGGCCATGGGATTAACAGCCGGTATCAAAGCAAGTCCTTCTTAATGGTGTTTCTCCAGTAGGGCCTTTTCCCCACGCTGGCAGAGGGTGAGATTATCAAAGCAATTCCATTCCAAATCAGGCGTAAAAGACCCCTTTCTTTCTTGATAGGACCAAAATATTAGGTGAAAATTCAGTGATTTAGGTATCTGTATCTTCCAGTTTGGGGAAGAGTGAAACCAGACTCTTTACTGTGGAACTACTGAGACCCTCTAACCTGTGAATGAGTGCTGAGAACAGCTGAAAGGTAGATGTCTCTTGCAGCCCACACTGAAATTATTTGCCAGTATGTATTTAGATGGCATGAATGCTCTCTAAGAGACGTTTGAGAAACCCTGAAAAATAGTTAGAAGAAAAAACCAACTCTGGTGATAGCTAATGCTACTGTACTAAATGTTTCACATGAATTACTTATTTTAATCTAGGCAACAACACTCTGGGTTAAGTACTCCTGCGTCCCTCTTCGTACAGGTGGAAAAATTAGGGGATTGAGAGGTTAAGTACTTGCCCAAAATGACCTGGCTAACGGGGAATGGAAGGAACTTGGGTTCTGGAGTTAAAATCTGGATTCAAATCCTGGTTCTGCTGTTTTGCTGGACGGACATTTTTGGACAAGTTACTTGATCTCTCTGAGCTTTGATTTCCTTATGTGCAAGTTAGAATAAAATGTACCTTGTAGAGTTACTCTGATTGGAGATAACATATATAAAGCACACAGCTAGTGTCCCATAAATGGCTATACGTATCATCACCATCTTATATTTAATGTGCAAAAAGGGAGTTTGTCTACAATGAGGTACCACCTCACACCAGTCAGTGTGCCCGTCATCAAAAAGTCTGCAAATGACAAATGCCGGAGAGGGTGTAGAGAAAAGGGAACCCTCCTACACTGTTGGTGTGAATGTAAAGCGGAGCAGTCACTGTTCAGACAGTATGGAGGTTCCTTAAAAAACTAAAAATAGAGTTACTGTACAATCCTGTAGTCCCACTCCAGGACGTATACCCAGAGGAAACTCTAATTTTTAAAAATACATTTACCTCAATGTTCGCTGCAATGCTATTCAAAGTATCCAAGACATGACAGCAGCCTAATGTCCATTGACAGATACATGAATAAAGAAGATGTGAGATATATATACATATGGAATATTATTTAGCCATGATAAAGAATGAGTTAATGTCATTTGCAGCAACAGGTATGGACCTCGAGATTATTATACACCAAATGAAATAAGTGAGAAAGAAAAAGACAAATATCATAGATATCACTAATATGCACAATCTAACTATGATACAAATGTATTTATGAAGCAGAAACATACTCACCAACATAGAAAACAAACTTATTACCGGGGGCGGGGGGGTGGTGGGGGAAGAGGGTGGAGAAGGGATAAATTAGGATTTAGGGATTAGCACATACAAACTACTATATATAAAAAAGGTAAACAAGGTCCCACTGTATAGCGTACTCAATATCCTGTGATAAACCATAATGGAAAAGAATATGAAAAAGGATGTATAGTTATATGTATAACTGCTTCAGGGCTCCCCTGGTGGCTCAGATGGTAAAGAATCCACCTGCAATGTGGGAGACCTGGGTTCAACCCCTGTGTTGGGAACATCCCCTGGAGGAGGGCATGGCAACCCACTCCAGTATTCTTGCCTGGAGAATCCTAATGGACAGAGGAGCCTGGCAGGGTACAGTCCATGAGGTTGCAGAGAGTCAGACATGACTGACTAAGCACACACATAACTGGTTCACTTTGCTGTAATTTAGAAATTAACGCAACATGGTAAATCAACTATACTTCAGGTTTTTTAAAAGGAGTTTATAAGTGGAGTCTGGAAAAAAAAAAGTGCATTTTAGTTGAATCAAGGGAAGTAGGCAGTAGGACCTGCCCTGTTACAGTGTGGGTAAGTGATAAAGGTCTCCAAAAAAAATGTGAAATACTCCTACTATTTTTCAAACTGAACTTGCTTATTCCTAATCACCAATTGGCTACAGATCATCCTCCAGTTTATAAGAGGGGAAGGTGGCAAGTTTTGGGGCCTTGTGAAGTGTGGCTCTTCTAGGAAGCAGATGGAGCAGGATCACTTCTGACCTGGAGGAGCTTCTGGAGTCAGATACCTAGGCCCCAAGCCTAGGAGATAAGATCCCACATGCTTGTTGGACAAAAAATCAAAACATAAAATAGAAATAGTATTGTAACAAGTTCAATAAGAACTTTAAAAATGATCCACATTTAAAAAAAATCACTGTAATAAAGCATGTGCTGATCTTAGTTCTGCCTTTTTCTAGCTGTGGAATCAGAACAGTATTCTTAAATTTTCTGAATTTCGGTTTCTTTATCTCTTATTTAGGAATTCTGACAGTACCCCTTATAAGCGGTTATTAGGAGTGTTAAGTAAGAAAACTCATATCAAGTACTAGTAAAAGGTTAGTTTGTAGTAAAAGCTTAGTTAACAGTAGTTGGCATTATCATTATTTTGTCCCAGTTCAGCTTACCTATTATCTGTATGACTGTGGACAGGTAACTAGGCCTCCATGAGCCTCATTTTCCTCACTGGTGGTACAGGAATAATCCCATCTACTCATGGTGCTGTTGCAAATATTAAATGAGGGACTATTACCTGTGAAACACCTAGTACTATGCCTGACCTACCTTAAATAGTTCATGAATGCTGGCTAATGTCATTTGCAAGACTGATGGGTCTTCTCTGTATTTGGATCTTTTACGTCATTTATTCATGCAGAAACACATATCAGAATACCCGGTGGAAAGGCACTTGATGTAAACGCTTCTTCATGCATTTGGCTGCTATTAAAAGGCAGTGCTATGCAGGTATGAATGATGTCACCGCTTTCTCTTCTGAAGGAGGACATCCCACTATGAAGTAGAGTTGGGAGGCAGGCCGTGGGAAGCAGTAACGGCCCTCCAGCAAGGGCCACAGTCCATCTACTTATGGGGTGATGTCAGGGCAAACTTAACCTTTGCCATCATCTTCCATGGGTTTCAGTCACTCTGGTAGCTGCTCTCTGCCACCATACACCGTGCTGGCTTCTGAGGACGGGGTGATGACTCACAGATGTGACCTCTGCCCTCAAGGAGGTAACAGACAGGAGAAGGGAATCCCATTTCTTGGGGTGACAGACTTGAAGTGAGGAAGTATGTTCAGCAAAGGCCCAGAGTAGTGAGAGCGAAGGCGACAAGCTAAAAGAACTGAAACAAAGGAAGTGTGGCTGAAACATCAAAGGAGAGAGGGACATGGAGAGACATGAGTTTAGAGGTGGCAGTCTGGGTCTGCCATGAAAGGCCTCCAAAGCCGTGGTAAGGACATGTTAAGGATACTGGGAGCCCACTGAGAGGTTTTGAGCCAGAGGTGACATGATCAGACTTGGGATTTAGAAGGATTACTATGGCTTCCCAGTAGCTGAAAAATGTGTGTGGAGTCGGGTGTGGGAGGGACACTAAATTTTTTTTATGCCTAATGTCAGAGTAATTGCTCCATCTTCCTGGGGTGGACCCAAGGCAGCAAGAGAGACGGGGAGCAGTGGTGTGATGTCAACGTGGTCATCCTTCACTGGACATCTTGATGTATAGGACGTGATGCTAATAAAAAGATGGTGCTCATGACTTCTGTGGTTGGCAGTGTTCTGAGATGGCCACAAATAATCCCTGCCTCCCACTCTTCACCCCCTGTGCAGTTCCCTCCTCTGGGGTGTGGGCTAGGTCTGGTGATTTCCTACAAACAAGTAGAATACAGCAGAAGTAGTGGGATGTTGCTGCCCTGACTGAGTGGCAAAAGACCATGACTTCATCATGCTGTGGCTCTCCCCCTTGTTTGCACTGATGTGGCTTTCTATGTGAGCCTGTGGGTAGGAGTAGAACTGAGGGCTGTCTGCAGTGCTCAACCCGTGACACCTGTACGTGTCTATCTGACCACCCACAGGACCCACAGCCTGCCAACAACCAGACAATGAGCTCGGAAGCAGATTCAGGCTAGCTGGGAGCACTGTGGCTCCCACCAGCACCTTGACGATGGCCTATGAGAGAACCTAAAATAGAAGACCCTTTAAAGCTGTGTCTGGTCTTCTGACCCTCAGAAACCATGAGATGAGAAATATGTGTTGTTTAAGCCACTCGGTCTGGGGCTTATTTGTTACACAGCAACATAGAGTGAGACGCTGATATATGATGTCACAGAAGGCAAAAGAGGACATGACACTGAGAAGGGGGAATGACAAGTGTTGTCAAATAACCAAGGATGATAAAGAAAAAGAAAAGATTGAATCTGACAAGACAGCAATGAGAGGAAACTGGGGTGCAGTAGCAAGGGTAGATATCAAGAGTTTCATGGCATCCGTATAGCTCCTATACGATGCGACCAAATTTAAACTCCAATTACTTCTGCAGGCAGGAAGTATGACCTTTTGAGGATGAATAATGCAATCTGTTTTTGCTTTCTACTTCTCATTCAAATTTGGGTCCCAATCTTATAATACTGTACTTCTGAAAACTCTCCTAAAGGCATCTATTAATGAATTCAGCATCTGGCTTTGCAGTACTGATCCAAATTCTTCCTTCCCTTTTTCTGGATTCTGCTTCCACTGATGCACTCTCTGTGCCCTCAAAATGTGTCTTATCTACACACTGCCTATTGTCTTTGGAGCAGACTTGGGAACAAAATGAAAAACTGTACACACAAGACCTGGGCGTGTGAGGTCAGAGTCTGAGTGAAGTCGAGTTCAAATTCTTCCCTTGCTGGAGTTTCTTACCTATAAAAAACTCGCAGACTGCCACATGACACTCTGTGTCCTTGCCATCCCTCCAACTTAAATGGTTTCCCTGCAGAGCAGAGCAGGAGAAGCAATCAAAGAGTTTTGGAGTCTCTGGATTGCTATGTGACTTTGAGAAAATGCTTTAATCTTTCTGAGCCTCAGTTTCCTCTACTGCAAAATGGGGGTGGTAGTACCTCTTTCTTTGGGGTTTTCTTTGAGGAAGATGAAAAGACTTGGTGTAAATAGGGCACTAAGCAAGGACTTGGCACAAACTCTTGCTGATGTGAGGAGCAGCTAACTTTCACAAGTTTTCTCACCTGCATGGCAAACCCCAAACCACTCTAGAGGCTGCCAGGCCAGCTGCCTGAGATGTGTCAGAAACAGCCTGGGGAGGCAATTTGCTTTCAAAGAGAAATAGGTAGAGGGAATGAAAACAAGACAGCCAGCAGCGGGCCCAGCCCTGAGCCAGGACGACTTGGCACTTGGCAGCCTTGACGGCTAGAGGTGCGCCGCCCAGAGAGTAGTTTCTGCAGGAGCTCACAGGCTCAGGATTGTCCTGAAACCGCACGCGGATCAGGAAGATCTGGTAGTGGTGCCCCTTGGCGCCTGTCCCTGCCTATTCCAAACCCAGAGTTGCCTGAAATTACCTCGCTCGGATTTTTTTCATGCCACTGAGGCCTGTTCCTCTTTCTGTTGGTAGAGTTGGTTTTCTCTCATTCTCTCTTGAAGAGGGTGGAACAGATGCAGGGACTGCCCGAGGAAAGTATGCAGGACACTAGCCACCTCTGGCCAGTATTTAATCAGTCTCAAACTTAGAACACAGCTTTGTGTCAGCTGCTATCATGTGGGTTACAATACGAGAGTCTTCGCCATGATACTTATTACTGGGTTTTCTTTCTGGAAGACAGTTTCTGGGTTTTTGGCACACAGATCCTGTCCTAGCTTTGGATATTGATGGCCTGGCTCCATTTCACTGTTCATCCTCAAGGTAAATAATCACCTTCTTGGAGAGACCCACTCTATGTTGAAGGGATGATTATTATCACCCCCATCTTACAGATGAGAAAACTGAGGCTCAAACAAATCAGAAGAATTTCTCTAGGTCAGAGAAGTAGTTAGTGCCGGAATGAGAATCAAAATCAGGGAATATGAGTGTGCTGGTCAGTATAGTAGCCAGAAGTCACATGTGGCTACTGAGCCCTTGGGTTGTGGCTTGTTCAAACTAACATGTACTTATCTAAGTGTGAAATGTATACTGGATTTTGAAGGCTGAGTACAAAAAAATATTAAAATATCATTAGTAATTTTCATCCTGATTATATGCTGAGATGAAAATTTTTGATATGTTGAGTTAAATAAAATAGAATATTAAGATTAATTTCATCCATTTCTTTTTATTTCTTAAAAGGTGGCTACTAGAAGATTTAAATTATATATGAAACTCAAACTGTATTTCCATTGGTCTGACTCAGTCTCTACTTTTTTATTGAAATACAGTTGATTTACAACATTGTGTGAGTTTAGGTCTGTACTTTTAATCATCTCATGTAGTAAGATCTGAAATATTGGTAGATGTTCTATAACGTCATTATTAATGCTAATAATAACAATAAAATTCAGACAGTCATCCAATTTAAAATCCCCTCTTCTTTTTTCTAAAGTTTGTTTGTTAAAAAAAAAGAGCAGTTGCCCTTGAATTAACCCACATACATTCGGTGCCTACTCTGTGCAGAGCACTGTGCAAGGTGCTTCTTGATGCAATCAGACAAAAAAATATTAAAATATCATTAGTAATTTTCATCCTGATTATATGCTGAGATGAAAATTTTTGATATGTTGAGTTAAATAAAATAGAATATTAAGATTAATTTCATCCATTTCTTTTTATTTCTTAAAAGGTGGCTACTAGAAGATTTAAATTATATATGAAACTCAAACTGTATTTCCATTGGTCTGACTCAGTCTCTACTTTTTTATTGAAATACAGTTGATTTACAACATTGTGTGAGTTTAGGTATGTACTTTTAATCATCTCATGTAGTAAGATCTGAAATATTGGTAGATGTTCTATAACGTCATTATTAATGCTAATAATAACAATAAAATTCAGACAGTCATCCAATTTAAAATCCCCTCTTCTTTTTTCTAAAGTTTGTTTGTTAAAAAAAAAGAGCAGTTGCCCTTGAATTAACCCACATACATTCGGTGCCTACTCTGTGCAGAGCACTGTGCAAGGTGCTTCTTGATGCAATCAGTAGTGGTAGTGTTAGTTGCTCAGTTGTGTTCGATTTTTTGTAACTTCACAGACTATAGCTCGCCAGGCTCCTCTGTCCATGGAATTGTCCAGGCAAGAACACTGGAGTGGATTGCCATTCCCTTCTCCAGAGGATCTTCCCAACCCAGGGATTGAACCTGGGTCTCCTGCATTGCAGGTGGATTCTTTACCAATTGAGCAACAGGGAAGTCCATGATGCAATCAGAGCCTGCATCAATCAGGAAGTGACAGGAACCCAGCCTGAACTACCAAAGGAATTGGAGAGGGTGATTAGCTCAAAGTATCCTGGGTAGCTCACAGATTTGAAGAAATAACCGAATGAACAATGGGATCCACATCTACTCTTTCCCTATCTCAGTTCTACCTCTTTCTGAATATTGACTCATTTTCCTCCATTAGCTTCCTCCCATGGCTAGAGGCAGATTTGTTGGCACCTTCCAGACTCACTTCTTCCCATTTTTATTACCAAAGTCAAAGGGTTGCCTCTGTATCAACTCCAAACAAGACTCTCATTGGCTTAAATTGATCATGTGTGGATCTCTCGGGCCAATGACGGGCGATTGGCCCAGCTAGATCACATGTTCATCCATGTCCACAGATAGGTGAGATAAACTGATTGGCAACCCTTATTAGAAGCAAAAGTTGGAAAAGGAATTTTTCTGAAAGTAAGGGATGATTCTTGTTTGATGAAAGGAGGTATGCTGAGCAGACAGATAAACGCATAATGCCTTTCTAGGTGCCATTGTCTTCTCTGTGGAAATGCATTTGAGAACTGATAAAAATCTCTAGAAAAAATGAAGATTGAAGAAACTAGTATTGAAGGTCCAAGATATTAGAGAAATTTTATAAAAAACTAGAAAAAGGAATAGACGTCTTTTGTGTGTGATATAAGGGGAATATATATAAACCTATTCAAACACATATGCCCCTTTAAAAGTGCCTGCTGTTGTTAGTTACCACCATCTACGTTCTAGACATAGCCCTGAGTGCAACAATACTGGACTAATGAATGAACTCCACCTCTCATCACTGTCAGAAAACTGCTGCTTATTTGTTGAGTACTAACAGTGCAGAACGTAGAATTAAAAACAGTTCTGGTCTACTAGACAAACAGTCTCATTTAGGTTAATATTTTCTGTTGAACAACATGCCCTTGAAAAATCCACTTGTGCTCAAATGTCTTCCTTTTTCTTAGAAAAGAGACTTAGTTCACACACACACACACACACACACACACACACACACAGTGCTTCCTCTTCATTAGGGGTTCCACCCCTTCCCCGTTTTAAGGTTTATGTTATAAAGCTGTCAGCTTATTGTCATCTTATACCACAACCTCCAGCATCTGAGAGCAGAGCCTTCCTTCGCCACTTAATCATGGAAGTCACGTTTGGACACATTTCATTAAAATTGAGAAAATTGGGCTTCAGGACTGAAAACATAATTAAAGTTGAATATGTAGACACTGAAGAGATCTTGGAGTAAATTATAAGGCAATCTATCCATGCCTGAGAACCCTATGGATAACTTGAAATATTTACATGTCATCTCTATTAACTTCATAAAAAGAGATTTCTAAA